AAATAAAGGTAATTTTTTTCTTATTGTATACCTATCCATTTATTTCTTTGTTTTAATTTCCACTTTGCTACTGAAATTTTTTATATAAGTTTCACTGTTTTTTTTTGCTAGTATTTGTACAATTTTTAACACAGCAACTTTATATTCCAAAATTACAAAATATCACCCTAAAATGCACGAATTATCCGCAGCTAGCGCTAGTATCGCTTTTGCTTCCCTTTCCATGAATTCGCACGGAGCGAATAGGTACATTTCCTAGATATGATTCTTGTCGACCAATATTTGTAGAATATGGTATTTTGCTACTAGCTTCATTATATGTTCTAGAAATTTTAAATTGTTTGGAATCGTCCCCCATGTTTTATTAAATTTTAACTACACCAAATGATATAAAATAAAAACATGACCGAATAAACCAAGGAAATGTTTATTTATATAAAATTCTACTACGGTGAGGAAATTATTCTTATTGAAATAAATTATCTGTCTATCTATTGTAATATTACTCACCAGAAGTTACTTGGCCTCTGCCGTAAATTTCTGATTCGCTCGAAAAAGATCAACTCTATGCACAAATATCTAATATATTTCTATAAATGACATTAAAAATTTATGAAAAATGTATTTCTCATCTATAAAATTGTTATTTATGATAAAGAAATATTTTAGTTTATTAAAACAAAAATAAAACCTGAATCGATAACAAATCACTGAAATATTGCTAGAGTTAAGGAAGTTTTTATAGAACATTTTAATGTTACTAAAAATAGTATAAAAATACTAATGACGCTACAGTTAATTTATTTTAGAGTTTTAGTCAAATGTAAATATATTATCTGAATGAAATTAATGCTACTGGTCAGGGTTTTAAGGGATCGTCACTTCAACCTTTGTTTCAGATGAATTTTTCTTTAAATATGTCCTTGACAAAATATTTACTAAAGAATCCTTTGGATTCTGATAATAAAACAATTTGTTACTCCCATGGAGACCACAAATGTCAAAAGTTCGTAGATACTGGCTTCAAACAAATCCTATGTTAAACGGCGCCCGTTAGTTATCTATATTTCATTTGTTTAGCATAATATTATACGTCATGTTCGAACGAAAACCAAACAACATGCAGCAGTTAGTAAGGCATAAACAATTGTTTGAACTTATGTTAGAAATCATGCAAAATATACGTAAACACCAAAGCTAGATAATATAGGTTGGACCCAATAATAATTAAGTATATTCGTAAGGTAAATCCGTATATGGTGCGTTTCGATCTTACTAGATTTACTATAAGCTTTAGAAACAAAAACTACGTTTAGATACCAATTCTAAAAAATAAACTGATTTAAATTTGTTTAACATATCTGGCCATTTCAGTTGCCGGTTATTGATTTGTAAGATTCCTAATATAAAGTTATCCAATATTTTTTATTCTATTATTTGTACATCACACAAAGTGAGGGTAAATATTGTATAGGTTAAAAAAATGTTTTTGCCTAAAACTGTTAGACTAGCTCTAAAGTAACTAAAAATAAGTTTTAATAAAAAAATGTTGTTTGTTTATCCACCATAACTCCTGAACGGTTTGAGGTATCGATTTAAAATTTATTAGACAATTAAAAACGCTCTAAAATAGTTTTTAATATTTTTAGCGATATAAAGTATTTAATACGATAAAATGTTGGGGTGGTGTGGAAGTATTAACTCAGATTGCAGCATTTTTTGTATCTTTGTTTAATGCTGACCCGCCCTATATAATCCAATGTCTCGGTTAGAAGCTCAGAACAGTCATTTAAACACAATATGCCTTGCCTTCGTGGGTATTTCATAAAACTTCTCTATTTTAATCTAGACAGGTTGTGTTACACACAATTTTATCAAAATGCTACGGGTTCTTCATGAAAAGCCTTGGCAGATTGTGTAACCTCATGATTTTACACAATATTTTGACGCTTCGTGATATGACTAGGATCTTCATGAAAAGATGAATTTCAGTATGACCTTAGGACATTCTTAGGATGTTCTCTCTATTTAAGGAACTGAATCTGAGTACTGACTATTCAAGTTTTCTACGAAACTTACAGGTTGATATTTAATAAAGATGTATTTCATTCGACAATGTTTTCTAATTATTTTATAATTTGGAAAATTTATAACCATATTTAAGAAAACCGATAATTCTGCTGTCTTAGAAAATTATGTACTTTACTTGATTTTTAAACAGGTTAATATACTGTCTAAACAAATGCATATGTCTTAGTAAGTATAAACACGGTTTTAGAATATCAAGTTATATAGCTATATTGATGCAGGTGAGTGTTAAATTATTAAATATTCTAGGTCATTACGCCATTAGAGGTCTATAGTTAGTTAGCAAGTAGTTGTAATTAATTATAATGATAATCAAAATATCAATGAGTGCTCAGTTCTGTTACATATAAGAAACCCTAAATGTAGAAGTTCCACAAGGGTCAATTCTTGGCCAAATCTTTGTATGTAATCTATTTCAATTTCTTTATTGGAAATGTCTCTTTTTACAGCTTATGCTGACGGTTTTCATGGCGATGCCTGATCGCGAAGACCATGATTTAATAAATAAATGCACTAGAATTCTTTAAAAAGTAGGTATCGTAAATTGTTTTAAATATTGTTAACAACATTCTTTATAATAATCATATATTTTTTAATTATAAATTTAATTTTATCGATAATTTGAATTGATCTTTACATTTGGTTCTAAACTCTAAACAATTATATACATTTCTACTTATAAGTTTGATAAATTCTAATGAATACCATGCTGAGATTGATTACATGATTCGATAGGTGATTGGTCTGTTGGTAAATTCATGTAGTGCAAGACAGGTGTTGTTAGACTATAGATACATATGTGTATTTTAAGATACATCTTCAGCATTTCATTTGTTATACGCTAGATTAGTGATGACGTAATTTGTATTCCACTGACAATGACAGTGACAGTATACTTACAAAAATAGAAGTTATAGGTATTGTCGAAGGCAAGCGATGATTTCTTTTCTTTTATATTTTTTCTTCCCACGCAAGGATTTCTTTCAGTTTACAGGGTAGAGTATGGGTTGTATTTTTGATGAAAATTTGTTGTTTCGGTGATGCATTGCTGGATAAATTGTCTTGGAATGTCGAAATGAAAGTGATTACTTCTGCCAACTGGTTTATTTAATTTTATATACTTTGCATTTTATAACCACATAACATTTGTATATTTCTACATGCAACAAGGTTTTCTAAAACATGCTAGTTTACAAGTATTAGAAATTAAAAATTTAAAGAAACCGACTTCAAAAACGTGAAGATGCCATCACCACATCTTAACCAAATTTATATAGGACCACCCCTGAGATACCCCCTTACTAACAAAAAAGAATCTTGTAAATCGAACAAGGTGGTAAAGCATTATCGCTAAACATACGTAAAAAATGAAGAGTTTGAAGATTTTCTCACGGACCCAATTATTAAATTTTGACCAAATATATATGGGACCACCCCTGAAGTACCCTCTTTCTAACAAAAGAAGAATCATTGAAATCGGACACAGTGTTGAAGAATTATCGCTGAACATACATAAAAAAAAATCGCGACGAATTGAGAACCTCCTCCTTTTTTGAAGTCGGTTAAAAACATCTTTCTATATTATTTCAATGTCAAGAAAAGCGACTGTTCGCGCAAATAATAAAACTAGTTGTTGCTTGTTCGAAGGTTGAAATGAATCTCGACATGAGTTGTTGTGTACCGTCTGGTTACGTTAAAGTATTTATGTGCCACTATTGTGATTAGTTTAGATAAAAAATCGTATATTTGACACTGTCTTGTGATTGGTTTAGAGAAAGTGGCATGATCTGATCACACGATTGGTGTAGAAAGAGATTGAGTGAGTGTTGTAACTATTGAATAAGTGTATATATTTATTTTTAACGATTTATTTTAAATGTGCTTATACGGGTACGAGTGAAGTAGGTCTGCGAGTGGAAATGCGTTGACGCTTATATTTATTTACTTGAAATTTCCCATAAAGTGAGAAAACTATTTCGCGCTGTAGCTATCTACTTTGAAATACGTTAAACTGTATTCCTGCATTCGCCAGGATTGGCTTTGGTTTTAATTTATTATATATGTAATCGAAACATGATTTTTATTCTTCAATTTGTGTAAGATTTTGAAATTAGGTAATGCAAGCTACGGATTGAATAATGAAATATATTGTTGTTCTTATGTTTGTACTATATTTATACGGGGCGAATCATAAAAAGAGAAACTGAAGTATCTGTTAAAAAATGCGTGTCATTTCTTTGAACAGGTATTCATTAACGTTTTATTATATTATTTTTAAGTTTTAATTCATTTGAACCTTACAATAATTTGGCTACATACCTTTAAAAAACGATTTTTTTATGACCGTCAAACAATATTTAAAAATAATTAAAAATGTATATATTTCAATGACAGAATGTTTTTTTTTTTTGTTAAAAGTTTCCTGTTACCTGTTAATGGAACATAGATTACGTCACACTAATATCACTAACAGCGTATTTCATGTCTATCATATTTTAACAGTTATGTTATTTTAATGATCCCTTGTTTGTATATTTACGAAATTAGTTCTTCATTTTCAAGACAAGAATAAATACAATTATTTGTGAAATTCATGATTATTTTTGTTATTCAATAAATTTCCGGTTCAGATTAAAACATTTTCAATTGCCAAATGTTTCAACAGTAAATTTTTAAAAATATTCCATATACGTACGCATAACCTATACTTATTGTCAATGTGTCAAATTTAAATCTGACAGACTACTGTGAATCATGATGCAAACATTTTTTATTGTATCATGACTGATTTCCAACGAGCCAATTCACCCTAGTGTAATCATATGAATTATCCAGCTATTTATCGTAAGCAAGAACAAGAGATTGACATCATAAATTAATGGTTACAATTTCTGTAGGTAGGTTATACTTACCACAAACCCTTTCTTTAAATTTTTCAATGCCATATCCTTCTCGACAGGTTGTAATAATTCTGGGTGGTTTTGATACATCGGTATATGGTAGAGTAACATTTGATAGGAAATCTAATTTACCATGAAGTTTAGACATTACTAAAAAATTAAAAAATCTAAATTAATAACTAATCAAGTTATTTGAAACTACAAGCAGAATTGTTGAATCATACATCGTCAATAAAAATTATTTTAAATTTTTGTTTATTGTTAATAACTAACAACAACAAATTATATTCAATAACTGTGTTTTTAACAAATATTGTTCTTTATAAAAAGCATTTTTTAATATTTATTGTTTTTCTGTTTCAGTGTTAAAGTTTAATTAATTTTTTCTATAATCACTGTGCAAAGTAAGCTTTTGCACATTCAAATATTACCGAAAGCTGATGTTTTCCATGATTTATCATAATTTGACATTATTGGCATTCTAGCGCACCAATGTTACTTTGACGCTGGTTAGTTTCATAGACAGGTAGTCATTATTAAAGCTAATCGGCATTTTAAATTAAAATGTAAACTAATCTGAATATTTTAGTTCTAATATTCAAAGCTATTTCCCTTAATATTCAAACGATAATTGAAATAATAAAAATAGATTACTTCGTCTTTAATTTGCAGGTAAGTATAGATAACACAGCATACATATAACACAAGCTTGGCCAGCGGTGCATATTTAATAAACATTGGAGTAAAATTTGAATTTGGTAATATCACAGAAAAATTTTATGTGTAATTTGAGCGAGTCACATACACGGAAATTGCCCAGCTGATAGTAAAACTGCTGACTAGAAGAAAACGGCCTAGGCTATTCATCTTTTCTTTTATAATATAATGTTATTCTTTGTTCTACCGTTGTTGAATAAACTTGTCATAAAAAGTAATAAACTTGTTTTTTACAAATCTATTTTTTGAATTATTATATTTAATTGGACCAGTCAGTAGGATACGCGCAGCTTTTCGAAAAAGAACTTACGAGAATGCGACCATTTAAAAATGAATTTTAATAAATTTTGGCAATCATATTCAATTACTTAGAAGTTGTATTGCGAGAATAAGTAACGATACTGTTCTTTCCGCTAACGACAAAGTGTGTCAAATAACCCATTACGAAAAAACCTCACCCAATACTTTTATCGCCGGATGCGACGGCATGTTAAAAAATAATATGCATCTAAAAAAACCAGATTCACTGGAGGATGCTATGGTGTAAGTTACATAATGTGAAAATTTCTAAAACTTGTACGTACATTTTAACGATCCAAACAAAGCATTGACTTCTAAACACAGTAATAATAATTATCGCCAATCTTACATGCCTACACAATCATTTTCTCAAAATAAAAATCCCATATCTTATCAGCGAGCATCCCATGAACCCAGATTTAATAATTATAATTTTCCACGCAATCAACAATCAATTATAAATAATCGATTTTCAAATCAATAATTCCCAAGTCAACCAATTAATACTCAACCTCGACAGTTGCCTCCTAGAAGGTTTCCTACGAACAGAGAAGTTATCTGACTTCCCCGAAATGCTTTCAGGCCTAACCAAATCCCTCCAAATCAACTTCCTAATCCGACACCGATGTCGACCTCTTCAAGAAACTTTACTATGTTGTCACGAAGACAAAATTCAAATTTCAATCGTAATAACTATTTACAAAAACGCAATAACGCACCTTCCAATTTTACTTCTGATGAATTATTCGCGAATGAATACGATTCAGAATATTTTAATGAATCTCCTGAAAATCTCTGTTATCAAAATCACTCTAAAGATTATAATTCATTTGCCACTAACAAAACTTTTATCATTTCTAATTCAACCCAAGCAAATTATTCAAGTAACCTAAATGAAAATAGCAAGAAGGAACATTTTCCCAAAACAAGCCTCATGAACAACCCTAGTAGAAATAAATATCTCGTCAGAAAATGCACTGCCGTATGTTGAAATAAATGAACCTAAATTAAAATTACTTATAGATACAGATTGTTGGCGATCAACAATTAAACCTATAATAATAGAAAAATACTTTCCAAATTCCATTTATAGGATAGATGCACAAATTAAAACAGCTGCAGGACAACGAGACATTTCTTAGCAAGCAACTATCAAAGCTTTTCCCGAATTTAATAATAATTATAATATATCATTTTTAATATTTGATTTTTACGATTACTATGATAGTATCATAAGACTAAACGATTTAAAAAATATGAATTTAAATAGATTTAATTAATAATAGGTAAATAGGAACGAATGTTCAAATACCTTTTATGTATAGACAACGAGAAGATTCAAATTTCTCGCTATCAATAGAACCACAACAAAAAATGCTAAAAAGATTACCAGTTAGTATATATAATGGAGAAATAACTTAGATATTTCAGAAATTTTAACACATGCAAAAAACGGTTTTGCACTAATAGAATTTCAACATAATTCCAATGAATCAGTTAAATGAACCATTGCCAGTAAAATCTTTCGAAACTTCAAATTATAAAATATACAGAATTAGCAACCTGGCAAAACGGCTTACACCTATTCAGTTTTCAAAATCGAACCAATATCCACAAATTTTTGGAGGTCTTTCAATAGCAATTACCCTTATTTTATTAGTATTAATATTCATGAAACCAAGATTCAAAAAGATGCAAGACTTCTACAATAAACCAGACCAACAAAAGAAGTCTCCAGATGAAGAAGAAAAATTCGAACATAACTTCATTATGTTCTCATCTTAGGGATGGAGGAGTTACATATCCGGAAATCGCCCAGCTGATAATAAAACTGCTGACTAGAAGAAGACGGCCGAGTCTAATCATCTTTTCTTTTATAATATAATTTTACTCTCTGTTCTAACGTTTTTAAATAAACTTGTCATTAACAGTAATAAATTTGTTTTTTAAAAATCTATTTTTAGAATTATTATATTTAAATAGCGGAAAGCTATTTGTCGCTTACGAAAAATTGCCGCGCTCCCCTCAAGCGGCAAAGTAGCACTTTCCACACAAATAGCTATTAAATACTACCTTATTGAAGGAATTGTCTCATCAAATACCATTCTCGTGTTTGTAAAAATCACTCTCGCTCTTGTTAAATAAAATAAATAAAAGAAAGTAGAAATGAAAGAAAGTATTGGAAAATATACGGCTAAATCTGAGCTCTGACAATTTATTTCTACAAATAACTACTTTAAAAGTTTTAGCTGAAATAAAAAATCCTACCTGGTATTTTTTTGGCATTTTGAGCATTCTTGTAAACCAATTTTATCAAATTACTATAAGCTCTTAGTTTACAGTTAATATTGCACTGCGAGTCATCTATTGAAGGATACACTGTGTAAATGTCATTCATTGTAGCTATCACAGATACGTTGTAGTAATTAATATCATCCTAAAAATAAAAACTACATTAAAATAAAATAGTATATTGCTTAATATATGCTTTTTATAACAGAAAAGTTACGCACGAGGCTTCACCGGTGTGAACTTAGCAGCCAATTTCTAGCAGCCAAAATTCCGAATATTACCGAATGATCAGTAGCGTCGTTTAAATAGAGGTAATTAATTATTAGGTGAGAAATAGGACAAAAACAATTTAAATGTTTACCGAAATTTGATAATAGGATGTTCTTTTAATTGTCACATCAATATTAATTAAAATTAAAAGGACAATAGAATACTTTAAAAATATTATTATTTTACCCGACAAGGTAATAGGTCACATCAAAAGGTATTTTACAATATTTATAATGGTAGTATTAACTCAAACAAAAAATATGATAGATATAATAAAAAATTCCCACAAGGGTAAACTACCCCGTAATAATAAAATATTTATTTTGTCAGAGAAACAAATAAGTTATCACTTTAAACTGTGTTTTTATTAGTTAAAATACATTATAATAAAAATATGAATTACTGTAGCCCCTCCCAACAGGGGTAAAATGCCCTTAGGATAATAAAAAAATTAGTTGACCAAAGAAGGAAATAAAGTATCAATTTTAAATGTGATCTTAAAAACTTCTATCAGTGTTATATACTTACAGTAAAAATATGAATTACTAGTGACCCTCCCAATAGGGGTAAAATGCCCTTAGGATAATAAAATAATTAGCTTTCCAAAGAAGAAAATAAATTATCAATTTTAAATGTGATCTAAAAAACTTCTAAGGGCATTTTACCCCTGTTGGGAGGGTCGCTAGTAATTCATATTTTTACTGTAAGTATATAACACTAATAGAAGTTTTATAAATTACATTTAAAATTGATAACTTATTTTCTTCTTTGGAAAACTAATTATTTTATGTTCCTAAGGGCATTTTACCCCTGTTGGGAGGGTCCCTAGTAATTCATATTTTTACTGTAAGTATATAACACTAATAGAAGTTTTTTAAATTACATTTAAAATTGATAACTTATTTTCTTCTTTGAAAAACTAATTATTTTATTATCCTAAGGGCATTTTACCCCTGTAGGGAGGATCGCTAGTAATTCATATTTTTACTGTAAGTATATAACACTAATAGAAGCTTTTTAGATCACATTTAAAATTGATAATTTATTTCTTCTTTGGAAAACTAATTATTTTATTATCCTAAGGGCATTTTACCCCTGTTGAGAGGGTCGCTAGTAATTCATATTTTTACTTTAAGTATATAACACTAATAGAAGTTTTTTAAATTACATTTAAAATTGATAACTTATTTTCTTCTTTGGAAAACTAATTATTTTATTATCTCAAGGGCATTTTACCCCTGTAGGGAGGGTCGCTAGTAATTCATATTTCAACTGTAAGTATATAACCCTAATAGAAGTTTTTTAGATCACATTTGAAATTGATACTTTATTTCCTTCTTTGGTCAACTAATTTTTTTATTATCCTAAGAGCATTTTACCCTTGTTGGGAGGGGCTACAGTAATTCCTATTTTTATTATAACGTATTTTAATTAATAAAAATATTTTAAAACACAGTTTAAAGTGATAAGTTATTTGTTTCTCTAACAAAATAAATATTTTATTATTACGGGGTAGTTTACCCTTGTGGGAATTTGTTATTATATCTATCATATTTTTGGTTTGAGTTATTACTACCATTATAAATATTGTAAAATACCTTTTGATATGACTTATTACCTTGTCGGGTAAAAGAATAATAATATTTTTAAAGTATTCTATTGTCCTTTTAATTTAAATTAATATTGTTGTGACAATTAAAAGAACATCCTATTATCAAATTTCGGTAAAAATTTAAATTGTTTTTGTTCTATTTCTCACCTAATAATTAATTACCTCTATTTAAACGACGCTACTGATCATTCGGTAATATTCGGAATTTTGGCTGCTAGAAATTGGCTGCTAAGTTCACACCGGTCGAGGCTTCGTAGTAGCGCAATTGCTTAACAACATGCATTACGTAGTAGACCTTACCTTCGACCATTTACACAGGTAAATTTGTATTTAAATATCTGTATATAATATGTTTTGTGATTTTTGTTTATTTTGCGTTTTCTTTACCATGCGTTTTTTACCGCGCATTTTGTTTACCTTGCGAATTGTTTACTATGTGTATAGTGAGCGATTTACTAAGCCTGTAGATCGTGTGTGTTTTGTCTGCTTTACATACTGGGCCTAGGTATAGTACTTCCATTATCAATTGCAGAACACAGTTATGTGGAGAATCATCAATATTTAATATATACGCACGGCACTCATGCAAAATTTAGAAACGAAAAATAATGTTTACTCCCCTTATACAATGCGGTAAATATTAAACGAACGGTCAGTCCACGTGTACTTGATATATATATGTGTCAAAATCCATCATCTCCGTTATTTACCAATGAAAACATCGAATCGTAAACTTAAATGCACTGTATTGGCCGAAGGTTTACGGAGGGCAGGAGTATTCGAAAATATTCCTGGAAGACAGTCTGCGATATCAGTGGAGTACTGTCGTGCGGTGTGTTTTGTATGTGTGGTTGGTTTAATCTAAATTTCTTTTAATAAATATAAATATGGCGTTCTTTAGACCGTGGGCGAATGAAGAAAATGAAATTGCACAGTATAGTGAGACTAAAGACAGGTATGACTTTAACAATAAGGATTTAGATATACAAACACAAGTTATTTTAAATATATTCGAATGTTTAAAAAAGGAAAATATTCAGCAGTCTGATAATGCGATCATAATAAGAATTGCTGAATTAACTAAAGTAAATAAATTTTTCATTTATCGGGTAATCACAAAAGGGGTTGCTGTGGATCATTCACAAAACCGAAAAACATGTAAAGAAAAACTGAAATCAGTTGACAGAGCTACCCAAGATTTTATACGAAGGACAATTTATAGTTTATATAAGGAGAACAGGGTTCCAACATTGGAAGTAATACAGCAAAAGGTAGCAGATTTTCCAGGATATACTTATACCAGTTTGGAAACATTGCGTCAAGTTTTGTCAGCATGTGGTTTTAAACACAAAAAAATTGAATAAACGTATGGCAATCATTGAATCGTCAAGGATAGTTCAATGGCGACAAGATTATTTGCGTCAGATAAAAGAGTACAGAAGTTCTAATAGACACATAATTTATCTAGATGAAACATGGTTTGACAGTCACGATGTAGTAAATTTCGGTTGGGTGGACAGTAGTAAAAATTGCTGTTTGAATGGGCCTTGTTCTAAAGGGAAACGTATTATAATAGTACACGCTGGAAGCAAAGACGGTTTCGTGCCTAATGCTTTATGATTATCTGCTAAACAAATTAAAAACTGTGCAGCTGATTATCATGAACAGCTTTTACCTAACATTCCACCACAGTCAGTAATCGTTATGGACAACGCATCTTACCATTCACGGCAACTCCTTAAAATACCAAATAGTAGCAGTAACAGAGCTCAAATTTTAGCGTTTATGTCTGAAAAAAATATTCCTATTTCTGCCAGTGATCGTAAAAAAGGCCCAACAAACAAAGAATTGCTTACTGTTATTAAAGGCATGAAGTTGGAAAAAATTTATTATATTGATAAGCTGTGCAAAGAACAGGGTCATACTCTTCCCAGACTACCTCCTTACTATTGCATATTTAACCCTATAGAGTTAATATGGGCAAACGTAAAATCAGAATTACGAAAATGTAATCAGTCTCCAGAACTGACTAAACTCGTAAAGAAAGTTCTAGCAGCAGACCGCCAAGAGCTTTGGAAAAACTGTGTCGAACATGTTATTAAAGAAGAAGATGAGAATGTAGTATTACCCTTTTTACAACCCATCATAATTCAACCAAATGATGACTCTAGTTCAGAGGATTCAGATTGCTATGATTATTTATAAAGATACCTACTTTAGATTTGAATTGTTTTTTTTCTTTTGTTTTATTTGCAAAGAATTTATTTTCCTTTATGGTTTTTACTTTGAAATTTCGTTGTCCAGAAAAAAAAAACAAAACGAATGGGGTACAAAAAGGGCTCAGTTCACGTCTAGTACCCTGTTTAAACCGAACGCCCTTACAGGCAGGTACACTTTACTCGCTTTTTTACGTTTTATAATTTAATATTCAGTTGTAGCAAGTTAACGAGCTATAAGTCCAAGTAAGACTACAATTAAGTGCATCTATCTAAATCAAGGCGTATAATAACGTCCAATTTATAATGATTCGATTTCCTTTTAACGAATACTTTCTTGCATATGATATACAGGGTGTCCGGAAATTAGACGGTCATACTTTAACAGCGTGATCTACATCTTAAAATAAGAATAAAAGTTAATATAAACATAGGTCCGAAAACGTTTCGTTTTCGAGGTACAGGGTGTTACAAGTGAAGTCCTGATGGCCTATTTTTGTAAATATTTTTTAAAATTTCTTTAGTCACTGGTTTTCCAAAGTAAAAATAAATAAATTTCTGATTTTACAGGCCTACTAATTATTGTTTACATTTTCGAATAACTTATATTGAAATTTTCAAATGCTTTTTTCTTGAAAATGGCGCGTCTTAGCGAGATGCAACAATAAAAACTTTATTATGAAGAAAACATTGGTTTTCCGAATTTTATAGTCAAAAATGGTAAAAACTGTCAACAAAAAAAACTTAGGGCAATTTTACCCTAAGCCCCTCCTACTTTACCCACCTATGAAGATGATCAAAAACTGGGATTTAATCCATTAGATAGAGCGTTCAAAGGTTAGCATTTGTACCAAATTTCACGTAGTTATTTTTCAACGTTTAGAAAATATTTACAAAAGAGTGTCATCAGGACTTCACTTTTAACACCCTGTATCTCGGAAAAGAAACGTTTTCGGACCTATGTTTATGTGAAATTTTACTCCTATTTTAGGATGTAGATTATGCTGTTAAAATATGACCGTCTAATTTCGGGACACCCTGTATAAG